AATGAAAAGCAGGGATCTTTCTGTTGGGGTGAGTGTTGATAATACACTACACTGTTCAGGTTAGCCACAACTGCATTATCCTCCGGGCTCACCCTCTCAGGTAATGGGACGGTAGGAATGCACCACCACACCTGACAGAAGCCCTGGTGTCAAGAATGCTATTGAACTGCCCCAGTAGCCCTGGACCAAGGAAACTTTGTTAAATGAAGCAAATAAATATTTATCTGTTTAAGCTACAGCTGTAGACTTGTTTATTATTTGTAGCCAAGGACATTCCTAACTGGAACAAAGTAATAACAAACTAAGGATCCAAATGAAGGCAAAGAGGACTCTAGAAATCAAAAAAGGGGCTACTTAGGCAATACATAGGCAACTGGTCCTGCCAGGAGGCATCTGCAATGGAGTTAAGCTTCAGGTTCAGGGTCAGTACTTCCTCCCTAGATGGCGGGGTAGAAGAGCATGACCAAGACTGAGACTTGCTAGGCGATAAGTATGAAGCTGGAGCTTGGGTATAGGATGTGAGACTCAAGGTTGAAGTCAAAAGACATGGGGAGAATAAGGCAGAGAATTGGGAAACTTGGGACCAAACTCGGAACAGCAGTAAAAGGACAAACTGATGCTGTATTCCAGGTTGGGAGTTGAGGCACACTGTGTTTACTTGAAGCCTTCTCATGTTTGTATAGGTGTGGGGTGTAGACAGAAAAAAAATCCTCAGATTATGGAAGGAGAAGGTGTCCTGCAATGTGATAGAGAGTGTGACAAACTTTAACCCACACTGTGCTTTAGCCACCCTGACACTCCTTTTGAATTCACCCTCTGTTGCATGCTCGTCTTTCCTGCTTGTGCCCATGACTTTTAAAAGACCTGATCTCTTCAAACAGTTGCCACTGTCTTCTTCCTATTGTAAGTGTTTCACCATGGAAACCTTTCCCTCCTCCCTCTATTCCAAGTCGTCTAGTTTAAGGATGCTCTTCCTGGATAGTGTGTATCCCCTCAGGCAAGACTATCCTTCAGCCTCTGGTCTCCGCTTGGAGTGCATCTAGATGGCAAGAGCTAGAAAAAAAGGATGACTGGAGTTTTCCGGGTGCAGAGATCAGAGTGCTCCACTCCTGCTTCTCACCTTGGCTTCCTTGCTCCAGCAGAGGCCAATGTTTTCCCCACCCCCATTCCTCCTTCCAGTGTAATCGAAAGTGAGAGAATGAGATCGCCCTCTGCCTGCTAGTGTGCTACCACTTCTCCTTTGTGTGTACCAGGTGCTGTGTGCGGAAGCCATAGTGATATTGTGCTCCTATGATAAATGGACCTCTGTGAGACACTTTTCTCCTTGTGTATACAGGGATAGAGGGAGTCTTGCCTGAGTGACTTCTCACAGAAAGCTCCAGAGGTGCTCAGTGTAAATAGCCTGGGCCAGGCAGGTTGCTCTTTCAATTGGCAAGAGAGGGTGTCAATCACCACGGGCCTGCCAATCAGCTCTAAACTAGACATCTGTAGCCATTAGCCTTCTATATGAATCACAACATTGAATCTTCCAAAGACTAAACAGAGAAGAGCTCCCAAAGACCGTTCCTAGGTGGGAAGGAGCAGGTCTGCCGGTGTCACTAATGGAGCTCTTTAGTTTCACCCTCCTTCTGCTTCTCACATCTAGGCCAGTTCCAGGTCCTTCCCATTAATCACACCTCGTTCATTCTCCTCCCAAGCGCATTTTTCTCCCACTCCAGCTGATGCTGTCTTTGTCCAGTCCTCAATGCCTCTCACTTGGACTCCTAAACAGTCTTCTAACTTGTCTCCTTGCGGCCAGCCTTGCCCCTCCAATGCACTCTCCATGCCGCAACCAAGTCAATCCTTTGAAAATACAAATCTGATCAGATATCTCCTCTCAGAAATTGTCCAGCCTTTTCTGTGGCTTCAGGTACCCTTAGTTAGGATAAAGTCCAGGATCCTCATGATTAGGTTCCCGCAAAATGCTCAGTCTTCATTTTGGCAGTGTTTCCACTTTGCGTCTAGCTGCAGCAAGCTACTTTGTAGGTTTCTACCGTGTCTTTCCTAGCTTCGCTTCTACACCCTTATACATGACTTCCCTTCTCCTGCGATACCCTTCATCACCACCTTCTCTACTTTCTCTTTAGTCTAAACCCATTTATCCCTTAGCACCTCAACTATCCTTTCTATCCTAAGACACACATTGTACTCACATCTGTATCACTGTTAGGCAGTATGGCACATGGAATTTAATACATTCTCTGTAGATGTTTTCCAACTCGCCTGGCTATGGCAAAACTGCCTCTGAGGAAAGCTTCCAGAGATGACTAGTTCATCTCTCTATGGGAAGGAGACCTCTCGTTGATACCATTCTTTCATATTTGGCTACAATCCCTTCTTTAATGACTACTTTCCCAATTCAACAGCAAGTACTCCCATAGCAAGGCTGTGTCTGAACAATTACATCCTATGTAGGTCCATGAAGTGCTCAAATATAATGAATGAATAAGTCTTGTGAACGTCTGACAGTTTTTTCCTTTTGCCATATCTTGTTTTACTTTGCCTCTAAAGTCTAAACTACCACATTCACACACATACATGGTTGCTTTCTACTGCTGAAAATTTTTTCCTTCTCATTTCATCTGGAATGTCCTTCTCACTCACCCACCCAACTTCACCACTTCTTTAGGGACCAGTTCCTCTTCCAGCACCCGCTCAGAAAGTTTCCATGCATGCTTTGCAGTTTTCCTCTGAGTAGTGCCAACAGTTCCCACCCATCTCATTTAGCCCTTAGCATCCCCTCGCGTTGCCAAAATGAGGACAAAGCATGGCCAGTTTTAGAAGTATTACTTGAACCCAACTCTATCCATAAATTCTACTAGCCAATATGTAAGTCTCACTTCCTTACTTCAAAGACTGTCGCTTCCTTTAGGGCTGGTCTGTGTCTTCTATTCCTTCATCTTTCTATAGCCTTCCTGGAACTGTAGAGCGTTCTAGGGACACACTCCCTGGGTTTCTGTCTGAGATGCACTGGTTGTCTTGGGCGGTTTAAGGACACTAACCTTCAGCTTCCTTGTATGCAAATGAAGGAACGCTAACATCCATCTCATAAGTAAGCTTAGAAGAATAAAGCAAGTTAAAGTGCCAAGTGCAGTATCTAGCAAGTTGAACGCTGCTCAATAAAGACTCTTTTCTCCATTGTTATGATTAGTGACGAATCTCTGCTGCAGTGATCCCTTAAAAACTACAAGGAGAGAGTTACAGAGGAAAGGGAATGAAGAAAGGACGTAGACCACTGGAGACCTGTGATTTCTGTGAAGTCCAAACAAGGTTAGTAGCGCGGCAGGACATTTGTATGTCCGAGTTCCTAGAGCCATGTGACTCTATAAGCCCCAAGCACATGGTTCCACCCGGCGCAGCTTCTCTAACTCTGGCGCTCAGCTATTCTCAGCAGCCTGTAGGGGGAGCCAGGAAGCTAGGACAGGATTTTGGGGGAGGCTGCTTGAAATCTTCCTAAGGGCAAAAAAACGACACCCCACCACTACTACCGGTCTTAGTGCACTGCCTTGCCTCCTTCTGGACACACTCCTAGCTCAGTACTATTCAGCAGCTAAACTGGGAGCTGTCCTTCAGCACCAGGGCAGCCTTGGCCTCAGGCAGGACAGTGAGGGCGTCAGTGGAGTTAGGGAGTCCGGACCGGTCCGATCCGCAACCGGCTCCAGTGTCCCCTAGTCAAGAGGACGAGGGCAACGCTACCCAGAGAGGTAGCAAGAACCTAAGGAGATGCCTCCTGCTTCTTAGAATCACCCTCAGAAGTCCCCTAGCCCTCGGGGGGAGCGAGGGGCGGTCCTGGGGAGGGAGGCGGGCGCCGGCTTGGTGGGGGAAGGGGAGCGCCAGGCCTGGGACTCTGCGTGTGGCGTGTGCACGCGGGGAGCGGTCGCATGAACGGAGGCGCTGAAGTGAATGGAGTTGGGGGTGGACTGGAAACATCCCCAAACAGCACAGGCTGCGGCCGGCGGGGGGCTGGGGTTGGGGACGGGGGAGTCCTGAGGCGCAGGCGCAGTCGGGGCCCCAGTCCCGTTCCCTCCTCCTCCCGGTGCCTCTTTCTCCGCCCCGCTCCCCCCCCAAACACACTCGCACACGGGCTCTCAAGGTGTTCTCCGCACAGCGGAAGATGGCGACAGACTGAGGGGGCATGGCCAGCGGGAGCCACGGGGCCATGCCTTTGGGCGGCCGCCACAGCGGTGGGAAGCAGAGGCGGAAGCGAGAGGCGCACTAAGTAAAGCCGGGGCGTCCGCGTCCGGGCGTCTGGGGCGCTGCGGGGAGCCAGGTGGCCCGCCCGAGCCGGAACTCCGGGAGCCGCGGGTGCCGAGGCAGGAGCAGAGGCGACCCGGGACCGGCCCCGGCGGACGGCCAGAGCTCGAGCAAAGCCCTAAGGGCCGGCCTAGGAGAAGTGCGAGCGAGCGAGCGAGGCAGGGAGCTGCACGGAGCGGGCAGCGGGCAGAAGGGCGGGAGAGGAGCGGCGCGGGCGACAGGAGCGGAGTGGAGCGGAGCGGAGCGCGGCGGGGCCCGCAGAGCCGCGCTGCTGAGCCGAGACGGCCGGGACGGAGTGCGAGCCGGGGAGGGCACCGGTGGCACGGAGTGAAGTGGCGCGGAGCCCGGGGCAGCCGAGGGACCCGACATTATGAGTGCGGCGCCGCCGCCACTGCCGCCACCGCCCCAGTGCCCCGCACCGCCCCCCGCCGGGACGGCGGGCTGCGCCTAGCGGGTCGGGAGGCGGCGCCCCGGCTGCCAGCGAGGGAGCGAGGGAGCGCGGGAGGGGCGCGGAGACGACCCCAGAGCGCCCCGCGACTCCGATCTGAGCGGGGTCCCCCGGGCTGGCTGGCCTGCCTCGCCATGCAGCCCCCGAGGTAGAGCCTGGACGGCGCTGAGGAGCACGGAGCGGTGCGCAACCCGCCCTTCTGAGACGGCCGTCCGGCCTCGCGCCTACCTACTCCCTCCAGCCCGAACCCCCCTGAAATATGTTCAGGGGCGCTTGGATGTGGCCCGGGAAAGACGCCGCCGCGCTGAGTATCTGCTGCTGCTGCTGGGCTCCCAGGTCGAGCGACAAACCTTGCGCCGATTCTGAGCGGGCGCAGCGATGGCGACTGTCCCTGGCGTCCCTGCTCTTCTTCACCGTGCTGCTCGCTGACCATCTGTGGCTCTGCGCGGGGGCCCGGCCCCGGGGCAGGGAGGTAAGCAGCACCTTGCGGCCGCCCTGGGGGGCCGGCCGCGAGCGGCAGCGGGTGCCTCCTCGCGCGGTGTTGCCGCTCTCACCGCCGTCGCAGGGCGAGTCCAGCGCGTCCTCGGGCACCTGCAGCCCGCGATACCGCAACCTGACCAAAGCCGCCCCCGCCGTCGGCCCTGGGCCGGTCTGCGGTGGTGTCCCAGAGCCCACGGGGCTGGACGCAGCTTGCACCAAATTGGAATATTTGCAGAGACTTTTTGAACCGACCACCCCGGCTCCCCCTCTGCGGCCCCCTGACGCGCCTTCTCATTCCCCGGCTGAGTCCCCCCCCCCCCCCCCCCCCCCCCCCCGCCAAAAAGAACTTGCTCAAAGGCCACTTTCGGAACTTTACTCTCTCTTTTTGCGACACCTACACAGTCTGGGACTTGCTGCTTGGCATGGACCGCCCAGAAAGACTGGACTGCACTCTGGACACCCTGCTGGGGGACCTGCTGGCCGTAATGGCCAGCCCGGGCTCCGGGACCTGGGAGGTATGTAACAACTGCATCGAGGCGTACCAGCGACTGGACCGACATGCTCAGGAAAAATATGATGAGTTCGACCTCGTGATGCATAAATACTTGCAGGCAAAAGAGTACTCTATCCGGTCCTGCACGAAAGGCTGCAAGGTAGGCATTGATGGCCCATGCCACGACAGCTACCTGGCTCGAGGCAGTTTCTGTGGCAGTGGGACTAGGGGGGAAAAAGGGGGCTCCCTCTCTATCCATCACACCACTCCCACCATTCCCAGTGTAGCACTGTGTCACCTGGATCCCCTCCCTAGAGAAGGACCCATAGGGATTTGGGTCAACTTCTTCGAGTTTAAGGTTTGAACCTTTTAAGGCTGGAGCTTCTGGTGCACTGCTCCCCTTCCCGCATGAGGGGGGAGCGGGGCTCTGGACTGACAAAGTGGTTGAGGGGAGATTGGGAGTGTGCTCCCCAGTCTCCAGCATCCTGGTTGGCCTTAAACCCCATTCCTCGGCTAGAATTAATTCTGGAACTGGCTTTGAAGGAGGGGGGTGTACAGTAAGAGGAAGAATATTTGACTACCTAATCCTCACCCTTTAGTTCCTGCCAATGGATGAGAGACCAGACCACGCCTGGTGACAGGGTACATTACACTGTTGACCTTATACAACCCAAGATACTGGCCAGATCCTAAACAGGGGAGCCCAAGGATGCCTGTCTTCTCTTAAGGAGGGAACCTGTAGGCTTCTGAATTCTGATGAGAGAACGCTCGGGGGAACAGGGCTTTTCAGCTTGTGGAGGGGCCATGGAAGGTTGGTGCAACACAAAGCAAAAACTCCCAGGGCTCCTGGCTAGTGACGAGAAAAGCTGGGTTACTGGCTGCTAGGGATGGGCATCTAGAGGAAACCAGGGGGCAAACAACTGTAGAAGAGACTTTCCTCCAGAAGAACTGGGTGTTGAGAAATTTCTTGACCCTCAGTCGGGTTTTTCTGTATAGTAGGTAGGTGGGGCTGTGCACATTTGGGGCCTGAAGCTGCTCCCCTGTTTTTTTTTTCCTGCCTGGCCAGGTGGCCTGCTTTGGGAAGAAAGAGCACAGCAAGGTCAAAAAGGTCAAGTGACAATGAGACCAGGTGGGTCTCATACATTTTGGAGCTGGGAGCCACCAGCTGGAGAGTAAGGCAGTTGCCCCCTGGTCTAGATCTTCTCCTCCCCAGGCTTTAAGAAGAGGCAGCAAGCACTTCCCGCAAGCATTGTTTCTGTGGACTTCTACAAGGTTCTGCTGTTCTCTGTGGGCCCCCTAGGGATTTGGGGTGGAGGACTGGGGAGGGAAGGAGTAGCTCCTAGATTCTGACTTCACTTTCTCCTTCTTCCTTTTCCTATTCTCGTAACCTAGCAGTCTCCTCCCGCCTCGCTCAGCCTCAGCTGACTCACTGCCTCACTCACACTACCAAATGAGATATTCCACTTCTTAAAGGTGTACAGACAGAGAGACAGACATACACAGCCATGCACCACCAGCGATACTCCAGACTAAGTCATCCAGAGAAACAGTGAGGTTTGACACTTTCATAAGCAGTGCTGTCAAAGCAGGCACCATGCCACACACATCTCCCTATGGAGTCAGAGACATGCATACAATCGCATGAGGAAAGACACATTTTGTCATACAGAGCTAGAGACACGAACTCTAATTGCCTGCCACCGACATACCCTTGGTGAGAGCAGAGATATTGTCCCCTAGCAGACAGAATAAATGATATCTTGCAGTCCTCTTTCCAAGCCTATAGCCACAACCGTTCTTTTTCAATATCCAAAATGAATGAAAACCATGGCACAACTTTTCTATGGGGTTTTCTTCCTGCTATAGTTGGCTCCAAGCTCCATCTGACCTCACACTGAATTAAAATCCCTCGCATTGGTTGCTGATGCAAAGCAGCTTGGTGTCCGAGGAGGCAGTGGTTCGCTCTGTTTCTGGCCGCTGTCGAGGGCTAGTTAGCAGCTTGCTTTGGGGCGCATTATTTCACTTCCTCTAATCCTTTGTTTCCTCATTTGTAATGCAGGAAAAATATCCTTGCCCTGCCAAAGTCTTGAATGTTTTGTGATATTTACATGGGAATGCATGGCTAGTAGCATTTTGTACTAAGAATTTAACACCTGGCTTAGATGTAATGTTTCAGTTGTTCACGTTTGTTATGAGAGTACAACTACCTAGGTTACCTCCATTTACAGATGAGGAAACTGAGGTACATATGGGTCATACAGTTTGCCCCACAGCAACGAGCAGGAATTCCAGCACTCCAGCTCCCTGTCCTCATGCTAAATTCTTGCTTTTGCCCTCCCTGACTTCCTATCAAGTTCCCCGGGCCCTCTCTCCTGGATCATTCCTCTCCAGCCCGAGTGAGAGTTCTCCAGCTCTTCCTGTCTTATGCTGGCAACAGGGCTGTGGCAACTCCTCGATTCCTCTGTGTTTCCCACTTCTTCCAAAGCTTTCTCCTCCAGCTGAGGCCCAAACCTGTAGTCTTTAGTCCCGTTTTCTGATGGGATGAAAGGGAAAGGCAGTTTGGTCCCCATTTCCTCAGCCACTCACCCCACCTTCTCACAGGCCTTCTTCACCCTGAGAAGCCTTCCCCTGAGCTCAGAGCCCTCCTTTCCAGCCCACATCCCAAGTGGGATCCCGTGGGGGATAATGCCCCATACCTACAATCCTCTGAAGTGACAATCTGAAATCCTAGGAGGATAAGAAGGTTTCTTCTACATCTGTAAACCAAGTCTGGAGACTGGTTCTTGAGCCAAATGACCCCCTATTCCCAGGGCCCTTGTTCTAAGTGCCTTGGTCAGATCCTTCCTATGTGACCCTAGAAACCCCTTTCTCTGCCTCTGAGATGTCTGCCCCTGTTTTGGGCCACACAGGGCCCCAAGAATCATACCTGCCCTCGCTGCTGCCTGTGACACCTCCCAATTTAGTACCAGCTGCAACATTTCCTTAATGTGCGACTGACTTCCTCTCGCATAACAGAGATGAGGCTAACCCGAGGCAATGCCCATCCCCATACTGGCCTCTCCTAGGTCTGAGGATGATATGATACTTCCTTATTTCCCCGTGAATCCCTTCCTCCTTCACACACACACACACACACACACACACACACACACTCACACAGTCCCTCCCTCGGCCTTGCCCAGGGTTACCATACAAATCCCCTCCCACATCTCCATCCTCCTAATCTTGCCCTGCCCCTGCCTGCTGCTGATTGCTTTTCCCACTTCTGTCTCTTTCCTCCTCTCTGTTCAGAACACTCAGGGTGAGGAGAATGAGGAGCAAACTCTGGCTTCTTTTCTCAGAGTTCTTCCTCCAAGAAGGCCAAGAGGGCTAAGAGAAGGGACATCGTCAGTTCTTTTGGCAGCCATTAGCTGCACTAATCAGCTAGTTGCAGAAGGATTTGCTAGTGTCGATCCACTCCAGACTGTCTGACACCCACCTGGCAGCTTGCGTGTTTGATACTGGGACGGATCAACTGATGGGGTTGAGAAGGAGGCTAGAGCCTGAATTCCCCGGAGAGAGTTAAAGGAGTTTGACTTGGGAAAGAGGGGGCTCAGGAAGGTATGGTCTCAGATTTAATGCCTCAAAAGGGTTGTCCTTGTATGCATGTCTTGATTGATCCCGAGGGACTTCACAGAAAGTCCTGCATTCCAACTTAGATTTCCCTTCTTACAAGTGTAACCTTGAACCTATGAACCTCAAGTCTCTGAGCCTCACTTTTTCATCTGTCAAATGGGGCTTATTCATCAGGAAAGCTCCGTAAGTTCAGTATTAATGTGAAGTCTGTACAGCATCTAGGCTTAGCACATCAGACACTCTCCCTTCTGGTTTTTGTTGTGAGAAGGAACAGACTGCCTTAGAGCTCCTATTCCCAGGAAGTATCTGGCCCAATACAAGTGGACTGCTGGGTGAAATGCCACGGTGATGACCGACCGAGGACTCTATTTGCATGGAGGAAGGAATTGGATCAGGTGACCTCAAAGGTCTGCCTCAGAACAGAGGTTAGAGGTTAAAGTAGAGCCTGCTCCCTGATCAACAGCGTTGGATGGGAGAGGCTAAGGAAAGAGGTTTGGCCTCAACACCCCAACTGAGGGAGAGGGTGGGGACTGCCAAAGCCAGCACCTTGCCTTCTGCCCATACCCACTGGGGCCCTGCTCTTCCTCCAGTCCGGCCTGGCAGCTGTTTCTGCCTCACTGCCTTCCCTCCTCCCACCTGCCACAGCTTTCCTGTCAAGCAGGACTGTCGGGCTAACACTGGAGATAATGGGAACTAAACGTAAGGGGTTTGAAGTACTGGGCAAAGGGCAGGAGTCTTAAGTTAAGTGGTGGTTCTTGTTATTGCTCAGGCATTCTCTCTGGCCCAGAACTCTTAAAGCCAGAAAGAGGGCCCCCGGCCCCTGTTTGGAGGCAGAGGAAAACGGAAGACATTAATAAGCAGCCTCCTGGGATTTCACAGCAAAGCTGGCCCTAGGGGCGGGGCATCCAGATCCAGAGCAGTTCATCTCATCATCACACATGGTGATCTAGGAGAGGTCAGGGGCACAGCATCTCAGAGCAGGCACAGAGAAGAGGCAAAGCTTACCGCTGGGACAAGGGTTAGTAAATTACAGCTGGGAGTGACAACGTAGTCACCTGTTGAAATACACCTCTAGATCCTTGACCTACATCCTGACCACGCCCTCCACTCCAACCCTTATGCTCTGCCTGCATTGTAGGCCAGGCTTGACATTCCTATCCAGATTTCAGTGAGCGCTAACTGGACAGTGTTTTACGACCCTCAACCCCTCCCAAACTACATCCCACACCACACTAACACTCATCCATGTATCTACTCATCTCTGTTATATCCCAGAACTTACCCCTTGTCTTCCTGGCCTGACTACCTCCTGCCCCACTTTGTTGATCTCCAGCAGCTGAATGGCACCATCCCACTCTCCATCTACCTCCACCTTCCCAACCCTGCCAACTTCTACTGTGTGTTTCACACCCTTCTCTGCCTCCCCTGCCTCCCCTCCTTGGCACCATACTTCTTGCCCTTGGCACTTCCATGTCCCCGCGCCCCTTACATCCCTCACACTCTACTCACAATGAATCTCCCTCGCTCCATTTCTCTTCTTGCCCC